TGATATCAAGTTTTTTTTTTATTTTTTAAAGAAAATAAATATTTATCTGGAAGGCATTATTTTTTGGGTTAAATTAATAATTTATATAAGCCAACTAAAAGTAGGATTCTAAAAAAAATGGTAAGTAATTGAAATCACAGCATTCGATCACTAAAAAAATGGACTCATATTTGAACTGCTACTAATTGCTAGAAAAAAATCATTTGTCATAGAAAAATTATTGATCCCAATTTCTAAAACAAAAGTCATATAATTTTCTTATAAAAAAAATTAATTTCTTTAAATATTAGCTTCTTAAAAGCATACCAGTATCATTAAAAAAATTATTTCATTAAAAATATATATTTCTTAAAATAAACTTTATTAAAAACAGTTTTTGAAATGTAGGTACAAATCCCTCCAGAAAATATATTTTTATTTCTTCAATTACATGTTTCCGTATAATATGTTTTCTAAAATTATATGTTTTCCTTAGAAATATTTTTAAAATATATTTTCCTCTAGAAATAAATATATATATTTAAAAATAAGTTTCCTTAGAAACATATGTACACTTTCCTAAATTGCAAGTTTTCTTATAAACATTTTTAAAATACTAATTTCCTTAGAAATATATATGCTTTCCTAAATTATAAAGTTTCCTTAGTAACATTTTATTTAAAATACAAATTCTTTAGAAATGTATATGCACTTTCCTTTTAAATATACTTCACTAAAATATAAACTTCCTTATAAATATATATCCTTCTTAAATTATAATGTTTCCTTAGAAACATTTTTAAAAATCAAATCTCCTTGGAATATATATGTTTCCATAGTAACAGTTTTCACTTTATTAAAAACTAGATTTTCTCTTAGAAACATTTCTCCTAAAATAATTATTAAATGCTCATTGAACTACATTTGACCTAATTCTCGCCACTTATGGGATGAGGTATGTAGGCAACCCACATTATTCCTAAGTTATTATTTTCTTAAGAATCTATCCCTGTGAAATAAATGATCTTATTTTCAGTAAGATTAAATTTTCAAGCCATTTAAATAAGTTATCTTTAATTATTAAATCACAGATATAGAACTTTTTGGAATGCAATATAAAAATAAGGTAACCGTGTTTCACGGGTGTCGTGGGGTACCTAACACCTTCCCCATGCACAATCAAACCCCCGAACTCAATATTCCGGTTTCATAGACTAAAATGGATGTCAAATAAATAATACTTAAATATCATTTTCTTTTAGTCCTTAGACATCATAGGTGACCTAACACATCGAAATCCTATGTTAGGTGGCGACTTCAAAAATAAATGACAATTTGACCATAGTCACTCTGTCGCATTAAACCCATTTTCTGACCCATTAAGTACTTAATATAAACCCTTATATATAGAGAGGGAGGGGAAAAATCAAGACGCGACACATGTCAATACAATTATGAAGTCAATGAATGCTTGTTTCTCTGATGATATATTTCCTTGTAAAAATATACAAGATAGAAATCATGATATTGCTAATAGCAATATATAAGATAATATAAACCAAGAATCTATAGATGATGGAAATAATGATAAACTTACACGTAGTAAAAGAGTTAGAACGTCTAAGTCTTTTGGTCCTGATTTTCTGACATAAATATTGGAGAATGAGTCACAAAGCTATAAGGAAGCTATATCTTCTCCTGAAACTCCTTTTTGGAAAGAGGCCATTAATAGTGAAATTGATTCCATCATGAAAAATTATACTCGGGAGTTAGTAGATCTTCCTTCTGGTGCTAAACCTTTAGGGTATAAATAAATTTTTAAGAGGAAGATGAAGCCTCATGGTTCAATTGATAAATATAAAACCAGGCTTGTTGCTAAGGGATGGTTCAATTGATAAATATAAAACCAGGTTTGTTACTAAGGGATACATGCAAAAGGAAGGCTTAAATTATTTTGATACATATTTACCAGTAACAAGAATAACATCCATTAGATTGTTACTTGCTATTTCAACATTGCAAAATTTAGAAATACATCAAATGGATGTTAAGACTGCGTTCTTGAATGGTGAATTAGATGGAGAAATTTGTATGGAATAACCTAAAGGTTTTATAGTTTTAGGGAAATAAAAGAAGGTGTGCAAGCTTGTAAAATTCTTATATGGATTAAAACAAGCACATAAACAATGGCATGAAAAATTTGACAAAGTAATGTTGTTAAATGGTTTTAAAATCAATGAGTGTGATAAATGTGTTTATATGAAAACACTCAAAATGGATATGTCATTGTGTGCCTATATGTGAATGATATGCTAATAATGGGTAATAATGATATTATAATCAAAACTACTAAAAATATGTTAACCAAAAATTTCGATATAAAAGATTTAGGCATAACTGATGTCATACTCGGAATTAAGATTTCTAGAATATCAGATGGCCTAGTATTATCTCAATCTCACTATATTGAGAAAATATTAAAAAAAAAGTTTAATAAAAAATATAGTAGTCATGTTGATGTAAATATTCATTTGTCGAAAAATACTGGTCCTAGCTTATCACAATTTGAGTATTATCGCATTATAGGAATCTTAATGTATTTGATGAATTCCACACGACCAGACATAACATACTTAGTTAATAAATTGAGTAGATACATAAGTAATCCAGAAAAGAACCATTGGACTGTAATAAATAGGTACTAAGTTATTTAAGATATAATATAAGTTATGGATTGCATTATTCAAGATATCTAGCAGTACTTGAAGGATACAATGATGTTAATTGGATATCAGATATAAAGGGATTCTAAATCCATAAGTGGCTATATCTTTACTATTGGAGGAGGTGCCATATCTTGGAAATCTTCAAAATAAACTTGTATTGCCAGATTTACTATGCATGAAATCTGAATTTATTGCTTTCGATAAAGATGGTGAAGAAACTGAGTGGCTTCGTAATTTCTTAGAAGATATTCCAAATTGGCATAAACATGTGCCCGCTATTTGTATACATTGAGATAGTCAGTCAGTAATTGGAAAGATACAAAGTAATATGTATAACGGTAAGTCTCGACATATACGTCGAAGACATAATATCGTTAGACAATTACTCTCAAGTGGGATAATCTCAATAGATTATATCAAGTCTAAAAATAATTTCGCAGATTCGTTTACAAAAGGTTTGACAAGAGATTTATTGTATAGTTCATCGAGGGGAATGGGATTAAAGCCGAAAGCTAACGAGTCATGGAAACCCAATCTAGTTGACTGGAGATCACAAGATCTAGGTTCAAAGGGACAACAAAAATTCTGAATGGCTCACCAGAATCACTAGGAATATTTAATCTTCTAATCATTTCTATGATGAGACAATGCTACCTACAGTAAGGATTAGGATAAGTTATACTTTTAATGACTCTTATATCTTGAAAATTCAAGTGGAGTATGGTAGGATACTCTTAATAATAGGTCACTTATATGAGCGTGAAGCGTAGCTGCTTCTATAAGAATTTCGAAGGCTAAATTTTTTAAAGCACTAATGAAATAACAGGAGTTGTTCAGGGCTATATGAACACAGCCGTGAGAACCGACTTTATGCGAAAGGGAACTGTGTGTTTGCTATTGCCTTGATTTACATCAACGGCTGAACAGTTCAAGATATTATGTTCATTGGTTAGCCAGTAAATCCGATAGTAATTTACTAGGGAAGGTTCAAGGCCAAAAGCTTCTGATGTAGTAACTTTTCAATAGTACTCTCCCTAGTGTCTGCATTTTCATCATTTGCAATTGACGCCAATTTCCATTCATATTGGGGATTGTTGGAAACGAGATATACAAAACATAAACTTTGGATGAAATTTGGAGTAGGTTCCACTAAGAATTTTTTGTGAATCTATAGACGAACGCGTTCTTCTTCGCAAGGAGATGAACGTGGTATATTTACTTTCTCAAATCTGTTTCCGGGTGAATGTGAAATTAGCTCCAAAGTAAGGTATTTGATAAGTCTAAATGGGTATTTAAAATGTGGGAAGTACTTGTCCCATATGGAAAAAATGTTGAAACCAATTGAAGTTAAAATAAGCCAAATTTGAGATTTGGGTTTGGGTTCAGAAATCTTCTTCTTTATTTCTGAATTCTCTTTCTCCTTATCTTTTCTTGCATACATAGATTTTAGTATTTTGAGTCTGAGTTCGAGTCTACTTCAGAGAGAGAGAGTACTACACTGAGTCGGGTCGCCCATTTCTCGGTTTGCAGTACTACTACCGAAGGAAGAAAAGTCGTTCTATCTTGGGAGATAGACGCCATTGAGTCTGTTAGCATCCATTTCTCGGTTTACAGTACTACTACCGAAGGAAAAAAAGTCGTTGTATCTTGAGAAATAGACGTCATTGAATCTGTTAGCATCAAGTGAGGCGAATCTATCTTAAGGACATAGAATCAAATTCTAACCTCGACTTATAATCAGGTTCTTTTATTTTATATACTTTTATTTTATTATATATAACTATATATAAGAAATTATATATATGTATATATATATTATATTATATTTTTACATAATATTTAAATAATAATACTATAATATATGTATACTTAGATCAAAAATTGGACAACAGGTCCTTCCTACCTGGCAGATGACTCACATAAATCATTCATGATCATCTATAATTAAATAAAAAAAATTATTCTCCGTATATAAATTTAAAATAAATATGCATTGTTAATTCGGGTCAGGTGGAAACTGACTGCTTGCGCTAACTCCAATGACACACAGACTTAGATAGAGAGATAGGGAAGTGAAAGGTTGTGCCTGCATGTGAGTGTGTGGACTGAGGAATATTCAACATATCAAATAAGAGGATGAAGTAAATTAATGGTCATAAATCCTTTCGTATGCGTAAATGCATTAACCAAACTAAATTTGATTATAAATCTGAAACTATTTAAAACTATAATCATGCAAACTTTGAACATATGTTATCAAAAAATTTCCAGAACAATCATTGAACGCAATTAATGTAAACAATGAACCATGTAGTTATGAATTTTGTCAAATATTTCTTAAGGTTAATCAATAGGGTCCTACTTTGATTTAAATGTGATTATATAAAAGTGATAATGGTATGTCAAAAATTCAGTGGCAAACAAATGGTATGCTAGATTTTCCAAACTTCGTTTTCAAGGGGTCTCCTGCAATTATCTTTTTCATTACCAGTTCACAACATTATCATGTTTTTCAAACACAAACCAACTCATAACAGAATTCCACGCATTACCTCCGTCCGCCGCTCTTCCCAATCCCTGTCCCGCTCCCTTGCTTTCCTTCCGATCCGTCCGTCGCTCCAGCTCCAGCTCCAGCTCCAGCTCCAGCTCCCTTTAAAATCTACGGCTCATGTTCTATCTTCAGAGCTCTCATTTTTTCCTTGAGGAACTCGATTAATTCCACTATCTTTTCAAGAGCGGCATTGTGGCATTTTTTTCCGAGACCACTCATTTCAGTTTGGCTTCTCCATTGCAAGAAGCAAACCTATTTTAGAAGTACAAAATTTAAAAACTTAGCCTTAAATATTTACAAGCATTTTTATTCACATCATACCAACAAAACGACAAAAAGAAATAAAAGAATTAAAAAAATGAATAAAACAGAATATCAGCAAAGATTTAATAGTAATAATAAGAAAAATAAGAGCAGTTAGTTACATGATGATTGAGGAGGGAACATGTCTAATCTTTAAAATTGTTACAACTATAACTCTAATCCTAAATCCTAAACTATAGCAAACCATCGCATTAAAATGGACTCTAAAGTACGGAAGATTCTTAGGGTTAGGGTTAGGGTTAGGGTTAGGGTGAGGGTGAGGAAAGCAAACCACCGAATTGAAATGAAAAAGAGAAATGGAGGTGATGAGTGAGAGAGAGTGTCCGTCAGCTGATGGAAGAGACTCTGAGGATGAGCGAGCGTGAACAGATAGAAGAGAGTTTGGTAGTACTAGTAGTATTGATGGTTTACAGAAAATGCAGTTGAAATCGAATAAAATCCACTACTTTAGCAACTAATTTTTCCGACGACTTATTAGTACTACCAACAGAGTCAAAGAGATATTTTTTCTTGGGTCTCACAAATATGTGCAATTACCATCTTGCCCTATTACCATTATTTGAAAAATGAAAAGCCTCACGTTTAAATTTAGAAGATCAAACGCCCTTAGGTATTGTGAGTACGTGAATGTGTTTATTGTTAATAAAATATATATATTTGTTTTCTTAGAAAAAGACATCTAACAAAAAAATCTTTCTTATTATTTTATTGGTGATGCATAACAGTTATTTTCTCAATACGCATATTGCATTTTTAATTCAAAATACAAGTAATTAACGAAATAACTTCTGTCACGTTTCAAAATTTTAAGTTAGCATTGTAACGGCCCAAATATTTCTAAATATAGAATATTGCATTTTTAATATTTCATTTTTTTTGTTTTCTAAATATATTTTGCATCATTTATACTTATTTATATAAAAGAACAATTTTAAGCTAGTAGATTACTTTACCGATATTTTTTATGTGTTTTAAAAAATGATTCAATTTTTATGTATAAGAACAAATTTTCAATGCCCTATATCTGTTATTTTCTTATATATGCTATGATCAGTCATTAATAAATTATATTGCATAAATTCAATGTGTGTGCTTTAATCAAAGCTTTAACAAGAAATGTCAAAATTTCTAGGAAAAAATGATTAGATGAATGAATGTCAGTGATAGTTGAGCGAGGTCAACGGAAAAAATGTGCACTCTTTTGTGAGTAGACTCACGAGTCACGATTCAATATTTTAAAGAATGCATTACCATTATTTTGTAAATGTTAACTATTATTATTACCAGGGGCGGACACAGGGATAGGCAAATGTGCGTTGTAATCCACCCAAAAAAAAAAAAAAATTTACTATACTAATATATTAGCCTAGCCTAAAAAATAATTTAAAAAAATTAATAGTATTAGTCCACCGCTAAAAATCAATGAAGCCCAAGTAAACTCAACTATCATACTAAAATAAAGACCTAAACCAATTCTTTAGTATTTATGTTTAATGTTAGCCCACCTCACCTAAAATTCCTGGATCCGCCCTTAATTATTAGTTATTTTTTTTTTTAACAATTGTAATGTGAGTCTTTAAAACACTTTATAACTCACGATCAATACATGCAGTCTCTCTCTCTCATTCTTCCAACAATTAAATATATTATCACATTCATCTTTACAGCAATTGCAGCAGTCCCAGGAGAAAATTGATCCTTTAGGTCTATTTGTAACCTATTGGATTTCATGAAATTGAAGGGTTGGAACATACAATGTTATTTATATGGGCCTTGTGGCAATTATGATTACTTCGATAAACAACACCTGTTTTGCGTGATCAAGAGGAAAAGATTACAAATATCTAAGTCTCACTTTTAAAAATGGTTGCTTTCATCTTATATACTTTTCTGAAAATAAATTTTTATTTTTTAAATTATTGAGAACCTTTTTTAAAAAAACTAAATCGAGCTGGCGACAATAATCTAAAAAAAAAAGTTTAGAAAATTGATTAATTTAAGAACAGTCCTTTGTACCAATTAGAGAATACTTTTCTAAATCTTTTTTTTTTTTTCTTTCTATTATTAGAGTTTTCAAAATTGTTATCAAATTAGTAGCCAAATGGAATTGCTTTCAGTTTTTTCATATTTCAAACCTGTTTGATTAAGAAAATTTACAAAATAATTTTTGAAAAACAAAAACTTATAAAACTGCTTCGTTGTATTTATTGAAAATTGTTTTCTGAACTAAGAAAATAAATAAAATATTGTACCTCACTCTTTTATTTCTTTAATTTATGATATTAACTATTAATGTAATCATTATTTTTTAAATAAGTGTTGGAGTTGTATTCATTTTAGGTAGTATTCTTAACTTACATATATCAAGTTTAATTAAAACTTAGACTAAATTTAAATATAATAAAAGAATTATATAAATTACTTCAAGTGTCATATGCACTTTTAGTTGTACAAACATCAAGTTTAGTGATACATAACCGAAACAAAACATTAGAGAATTACATAAATAGCTAATAAAGACAAAACATTGAAAAATTATTAAAGTAACTTCATCTACCATTGCTTCCAAATGATGCCCACATTTGATTCTTTAGATGAGTTCTAAAGGCTCCCATTTGTCTTGCACCATCATCAGATAAATTAAGTGCATTCAGTACACCAACAATACTATTGGTACCATTCCTCTTATCAACGACATTAACATCTTCTTTCCCATATTCCATAAAAAAACGGTCATCTAATATATTTTGACGAATGAAATTGTGAATCGTGCAACAAGCAATTATTATGAGTCATTGTCTAACCAACTTATAACAATGCATAAGCTTTAAAATGGAAAAACAAGCTTTTAGTACTCCAAAACAACATTCAATAACATTGCGAAGTGATGAATATTAATGCCGATAGTTAAACAATTCCTTTGCACCATGCGGTTGCCGATTGTTACCCCTATAATTTTGTAAATGATAACTTTGACCACGATATGGAGGCAGAAATCCTTTTGTGCATGGGTAACCAGAATCAACTAAATAGTATTTCCCTGCAAAATATTATTTAAATTTTATTAGGGTTAGTGGCATTCTATTATTAATATTAAAAAGACAAAAGTAATACCTTCAGCTGGTATCGGGAATCGTGCAGCAGCTCTAGTAATTATATCAATAAAAACTCTCGAGTCATTTTTTGAACCTTCCCAACCCGCATAAACGAAAGTAAGTAGCATATCAAATGAGCAAGCACACATAACATTTTGTATCACTATAGACTTTCTTCCTCTATAAGGAGTTTATTTGTTGGCAGGTGTAAAAGCACTTATATGTGTTCCATCAATTGCTCCAATGCAATTCTTAAACCAATGATAGTATTTGGGATTATGAAGTATATGAGAAGGCACACCACTGTTTTGTAGTGGACGTGTGAGGAATTTCCAAAGGCGACATATTGCTCTCAATACGAGCTTAAAATGTCTAGAAATTTTTCGCCAGAATGTTGAAATCGTTCAGCTACCGACGAATATTATGTTCTATAATGAATAAAAACATTGTCACTGACTCCTCAATTAAAATTGTATGTGTGTCTTCCAACAATTCACGTTCTCTCAATATTCGACATAATTTCAGAAAGGCTTCTCTATCCATTCGTAATGTATCAAAACATCGACCGACATAATCATTCAACAATTCCTAAAAATACTCATGACCTGTTAACCCTGAAATTATAATACTCCTAATTTTAAAATGATAGTCTTGGGATTTATTTATTTATTTTATTGCATTTTTAATTAATTATTTGATTACGTGTCTAATTGTTTATGTGTTTAATTGAATTAATTATTTAAATTAATTATGAGCTTAGATTGTGTATTTGAATTAATTGTTGGTATAAATTTATTTGTTTAAAGGCTATGTGGTTATGTGTAATTATTTAGGAATTAAATATTTTATTTTTACTTTTATTTTTATTTTAAAGGAGTTGGATTTGGATAGTAGTAATAGACCAACCCAATGGTTCACATAGACTACTTGGATAGGAGTTTTAATGTGTATGAATATTTACCCATGGATATATATATATATATATATATGTTTATGCATAAACTTATATAGTCAGCAATTGTTGTTACGTTTTTTATTTTATTTTCTTTTTCTTTTCTTTCCTTTAAGTCTGAAGGATTAGACTTGGAATAGAAATAGGATTAGGTTAAGTTTGGAAGCCCATATATATATGTAAGTATAGTTTGAATGAGGGTTAGTACGTGCATTATTTTAGAGGCAGAAAGATAGAAAGCAGAGAGGGAAAAGAGAGGAAAAACGTGAAAGAAGAAGAAAGGTGTTAGCCAAGAAAATTAGGTCGAACCAAGGAGAGAAGGAAGGAGGTTGCTCGTGGACTAGGACCGAGCACCAAAGAGGTTCGAAGGCAACCAAGTATAATACCCCTAAATTTTCCAAGGTTTAGTTATTTATTTTATTTCATTTTGTTTGTCTAGGTGGGCAATTTGAATTGTTTGTGCATTTATTTTAGGATTTTATTTGTTTGTAATTTAAATGCTAATTATTTTATATTTTATTAACTACATGACTATGTGAATTATTAATTAGTTATTTATTTTATTTGTTTTAATTATCTACGTGGCTATGTGAATTATTTGTTCTTTAAATTATGTGAATTATTTGTTCTTTAAATTTTATTTATTTAATGTGTAATTAATTGTCATTAAGCTTTAGTTATTTAATTGTTTGTTTAATTTTGTTTAGTTAGATGTTTAGGGTATTAAATTAATTACTTTATTTTAGATTTGGGCTTAAAATATTAAAGGAATTTTATATGTAGTACAAGTTTATATATATATATATATATATATATATAGTTACTAATCTAATGGTTAGTATTATAGTATTATATATATTTATTTTTATTTATTTAATGTGTAATTAATTGTCATTAAGCTTTAGTTATTTAATTGTTTGTTTAATTTTGTTTAGTTAGATGTTTAGGGTGTTAAATTAATTACTTTATTTTAGATTTGGGTCTAAAATATTAAAGGAATTTTATATGTAGTACGAGTTTATATATATATATATATAGTTACTTATCTAATGGTTAGTATTATAGTATTATATATATTTATTTTTATTTATATTATAGTGTTAAATTGCTTTTGGTGGATTTAAAAGCCAAACCTGGCAGTATGTGGTATATGGTGTATGTTACTTTAGTATGATTATTAATTATTTAATTTTAGTTTTATTATTACTTTACATGTGTTAGCTTTCAATGATCTTGGGTTGTT